CGCTTGACCAAGAATCAAAATTATCCTTGAAAAGGTTTGATTGACATGGTAAACACCATTTAGTATAGTAACCAAATTCAGCAATAGGATTATTACAATTGGGACAAATTCCTGAAGAAATTTGCATAGGTTTTACTTTTTGATTAATGATGGATTTTCTTATATCTATCAACTTTTCGATATCAAAGTCATCATTATGAAAAGATGAATGCCTGTAATTATGATTGTAAGATGAATTACTGTTACTATGAATGTAAGCTGAATATCTGTTATTATGATTGAAGGCATTATAAGTATTTCTTCTATTATTATCACTAATTATGGCAAGTTGCGTTGGGTCAGTTATAATCTTTGGTAATTTATGAAGATTACGTTTCCTTGAGGGAGTCGGATGGCTTGAAAATCTTTGATGATTTAAAGATTCAAAATTCTTATAGGTTTCAGAATCATGTTCTACTCTATTAACTAAAGTTTCAGTTTCTCTTGTTTCAAACTGCTTTACCAATTCTACTTTATTAGAACGGTCATCTTTCTTTTTCTTTTTCTAAATGATTAAATGATTACACGAAAATTTTATATTGGTAAAGATTCACCGAGAGAATAAAAGTATGTAAAGTATCACAATTATAGTATTTACCTTTCTGAAAAGTCGGAAAATTTTATTCATAACTTGGATTGATTATTATTAAACAATAAATACATAAATTAAATGAAATGACAATTCAGAATTTGTTTAAAAGAAATTTTTTTGCCCTTTTATTTTATTTATTTAATTTTTTTTTTAACGCTTGCTCATTTTTGTTACAGTTTTCACTTTGTTACATAGATTGAATTGTTTTATTTCGTAACGTTCCGAATTTTATATTTATTACCCATTATAGTATAAGAAATTTTTTTTAAATGATAAAAGATAAGATGAATTATTTGGTATCATTGAAAATATTAAAAATAACTAGACGTATATTTTTAAACTTCGTTTACTATTCATAGGAAATAAAATAGTATATATATATAGATTAATATGCAGGAGCATTGATTGCCAAGAGAAATACCAAATTTGGGTTCCGATTTTTTTTAAGAGATACTCCGAGACATTTTACAAGTTATATAATAACTATTAAACGTGAAACGTATCATAAAGAATTACATCATAAAAGAATGCTTTAAAAGCACGTCAAAACTTATCATATATTGCATGTATGCTAAATTGATTTTATATCAGAAAGTATATATTAAACAATTAACGTTAATGAGTAATCCTTAAATTTATTAAAATAAAAACATAAACAGACTAACACATATCGTAACGACAATAGTAACTAACTCATCTCAAATATATCTCAAGTATATCTCAAATATATCTCAAAATACGTCTTTTGAATTACTTAAATTCTTACCGTTAAACAATCTTTTAACTATTTATTACATATGATGTCGTAACTTGTATGCACGTAGCTTATGAATAACGTTATATCAGTGAAAAAATGCAAATGATGTAATATCATGTCCTGCACCATAATTTTATATTCAAATTTATACCGAAATACGGGAACACTGAAATTAAGATTTTTCAACCCAGGACGAGTCATGCCATCAAGTCTTTATTTAAACATTATACAGTATATCAGATATAGTACATATATACTGTACGTATTTTGTATTTTAATAAAACTATGAATATATTTTGTTACTTTTCATACATCAAATAAATTTAATTCTAGTAGCTCAAAACTAATTAAAGATTCCATTAATCTTTAAACATCGAAATTAATTAGGCTGTTGTTAAAAAAAAAAATCTGCAGACTTTTATCATGCATTACACGAATATATATATATATCCCCAGCAACTATCCAGACTAATTCGATGTATTCTTAAAATTATTGTATATCGATATGGTGTAATAAATAACCTTTAACGTTAACGTTAAAAGATCAAAATTTATCTTTAGAGAATTGGTCTTCAAGTAGCATCCAATAAAATTTGTCCAATTATGCAGAAGATCTCTGCGGCTTATAAATAATAATATCACCGCAGAAATTATTAAACAATGTAACTTTATCAAAAAGACGATCACTTTATCTCAGTTCAAACATGTGAATTCCTTTAATCAAAAAAGGATCAAGTGCTACCATGTAACTATTTCAACTTTATATCTTAAACTCCGCTTCCGTTATTGACTTTCCCTTTATCAGTTAATAATATAAAAAATGTCAACCGATTTTTCTTGTTTCCTTTATGGTACTCTGATTTTTCCTGAAGTTATTGGGCGCATACTTAGTGATGGTGGTAAAGAAAAAATCACTGTTGATCTTAATTCCGGTGCTCCAGCTGTTTTGAAGGTAATGTACTAATGAGGCATCTCTAAAAATATATCTAATTATCAATATGATCTCGATGGTGCACTTAGGTAATTTTATTTGTAAATATCCGAATATATATATGAATGTTAATAATGATTTCGAATATTCGTAATTTTTACAAAATATTTAGAATAAATGTTATGAAGTTTTGTTTTAATTACAAATATTTATTACAGTAATACTTTATTTAAAATTTTATATTTATAATTATTATAAATGTTTATATTAATTATAATGTTGTGAATTTAACGATAAGCATTATTAGAGATGTCCCCTGCATTATTCATCATTACATAAATTTTAACTTTTCTCACCTGCTCATTATTAAGGGATATAAACGTTATCAAGTTCATGGTGCTTGGTATCCGGCCATAATAAAAAGTAATGAAAATGATGAAACAAAAGGTGTTTTTCTTAAAGGTCTTTCCTATAATGATATTTTGAAACTCGATGATTTTGAGGGTGATGTAAGATTTTCTTTTTTAGTATATGCTTATTCATTTTTAATAAAAAAAAATTTTAATCTTTATATTTATTGACTAATTCAATTTGTAGCAATATAAAAGAATAGATGTTAAAGTGTTCGTTGGCGATTCTTTGGATCCTATACCTGCTCAAACTTATGTTTGGGTTGCTTCTTCTAATTTGTTGGATAATAAAGATTGGGATTCAGCTGAATTTAAAAAAAAATTTGATAAGGATATGATTGATTTATCTAGCGATGGGGAAAACGATGTTAAAAATAGGTGATTCTTAATTGTCACATTCAATTATTTATGAAGAATCAAATTCTTTTTAATAGATCACGGCGCGTGGCAATCGAATTTTTAGCATATGTAGTAGATTTATCTGAATAATGTATATTAAATAATTTTATTTTTTAACCATTAAATTTTTAAACCATTTTCTAATGACTTATTGCAAATTTATATAGATATTTAATAAATAAAAGAATTATATAAGTATGTTATAATTTTTAAATATACAGTATTTGGTCTATTACTTTTAATAATTTATTTTTTAATTCTAATTATTTTTTTATATATTTAGTAAATAAAATTGTTACAAATTATTACTAGTAATTATTAAAAAAAAAATTAATATTTATACTTAGATTATTAATATTTATTTTTATTTTTATAATATTTTATTGCTAAAATTTAGTTAAAATATAATTTTTTTTTTAAAAAAAAAAAATTTAGGCAGTCTTATTAATTCTTTTATTAAGAGAATTGAAAACTAAAGTTTTACAAATAATTATTTAATTTATAAGATTGATATCACCCAAATATTCCAAGTATATCCAAGTGTAACTTGCTACACCAGCTTCAATAAAAACTAGAAGGTTGTGTCAGATAGCCTAAGAATTCTTTTTTTTAAATTCCTCTTTCTTCTTATAAAGCTTAACAAACAAGGATATATAAAAGGTTTTAACTAATATTAAAGAAAAGTTTAAAAAAGATATAATAAAAAAAAAATATAATTAAAAACAAATAGCAAGAAAATAAAATACAAAAAAAAAGAAAAACAAAAAAAATAAAAAAAAAAACAAAAATAAAAAGCTAAAACTAACAGCTTAAAAAAAAACTAATGAGAAAATACACTATTATAACCTGTACAAGGCTTGATAAAAATTATATATTAATTGCAATATTTAATATATCTTTGTTGTAAAGCTTCACTTTATTATTTTTTTTTTTATATTGCCAAATTGCCATAACAGGCAAACTTTATTAGGAGTAATATTTAAATGTTATTATATTTTTATATTGTTACATGCTGCAAGTATATTTCTAAATCTATGAGAGTATATCAAGCCATATATGCACCTTTTGGGTGCCTATTTAAGTAGTCTACCCAAAGGTTCTACACTAGATGTGGTACCTGTAACCCAACTAGGGAGTTACTCGTTTGAGCTCTCTGATATTCCCAGTTCTGCACTGCTCTGTTTGGTTTAAACCATCTCACCTCATGCTATACAAAGGCCACCTAGGCTAATATTCCCCTACTAACTTTACCTCTTTATAGATAAACCCTTCGAATCTAATTTATTTAAGAAATGACACAGTAGATGCCCTCCTAAATCCTTCTATGTCCCACACATTTTTAGATTTGGTTCAGAGATACTGTGCTATGGTTTTACCCATATACTAGCAAGTTTGGTTACCCAAGCTGCACATATTCTCTGCCTTTGTAAAGTTCATTTCTACCCAGTACCCACATTCGAATTTTTCTTTTTTTCTGAATTCTTTACTGGTCTCTTACTTGTTTCCAGCTAGCAACCTAGAAGGGTTGGTCTGCCCAAGCTTTAGATGTCTTACGGTCTCCCTTTTCTTGTACATACTTCCAGAGCACATATCCTTTTCCTCCAGTTAGCAATCTGGCGATTTGGCTGGTGTGTCCCCCCCACTTAAAAACCTGGTCACTCAGTTTTTCAGTTTTAGTTTCTGGTTCCAAATTCAGTTTTTCTGTAACACTGATGAAAGTTTCCACTACTTCTTACTCGGGTCTTCCCAAACAGGTTTTGATCATCCCAGTTTCTTGGCATTTATATGCCGAAGCTTCTATAATAAGATAGCACAACCAAGATTACAGATTGTAGATCTAACCAATTAGTGGATAATCATTACCAAATACAGGTTTTTAATTTTTCAAAATCATCATCCATGGGATTTGAACTCTAGACCTGCCACTTGGAGAGGTAACAACTAGACCACTTCACTAAACTACCACACCCTAAGCTTTACTTTATTATTAAAATTTTCTTTTAAATACTTTTAGATATCTCTTAATTGAAGTACTAATCCTTGTTTTATAATATAATATTATATTGATAAACAAAACAAACACATAGTTATATACTTCTAAGTTTATTTAAATTTAATAAATATAAACAATACTGATTTTTTAAAAGAAATAAATTATTTTTGTTAAAATTTTTGTAAGATCAGCAGGAGGGCAAAAAAGTTGAAAGATTTCTTAAAAAAGTATAAGTATTTTTCTAAAATATAGTGTCTAATAAACTCTTTTTAAAAAAGAAAAAAGTATTAGTATTTATATTTGTTATTAAATAATAAACTTTAAGCCTGTTAGCAAGTAGTATATAACTTATTAAGAGTGTTAGGGTAAGCGT